CCTGCACGCTTTTCTACAAAAAGTTCAAAAAACTTACCTCAATGAGGGCAGAGACGATTGAGCGAAGTTCCTCATAAGGCATTTTCCCAATCAAGTGATCCGACGTTATACCACTGTATTCAGTGTTGTAGCTGTACACCTCATAGGGCGGTTGGCAGTATTCATCAATGACAACTTTCCCGAAGGAGTCTACAATGCTGACGCGAGCAGCTATAGACTTCAGTTTCTTTGAGGTAGGCAAGTATACGGCAATCATTTCGCAGTCAAGTGCATAAGCCATCACAAGAGGGACCGGAAAAAGTTAGGTGAGTTGACGAATGAGGGCTCCTGTCTGCCACTTCAGGCTGTAACAGGAAAGCGATTTCCTTAATGTTCTATAAAACCAAACACATTAGTAGGAACGTTTTTATAAATACGGCCTTTCAGGAGAAAGCATTGAAAAGTTCATCAAAAACTCTTGCATTGCACTCATTCCTGAAACCATATCATGCAAGTTGGCAACCCCCAATTGATCGATTGAGAAAAATGGCCCGCTTCCCAGGTTCGACTCCGAGGGGTTTATTATGGCGAGCATGCTGAAACCTGCGGAAATCTTCATCTACAACAAAGGGTAACAGATCAGTAATATGCCACCGATCCTAAAAATGAACAATTTTCGTGACATTGAGGACCTAACAATTGACTTACGTCCAGATTTTGGCAGATAATTGAACCAAACGTGACATGGCAGGGTGTCGAAAAGTACAAGAGAAACTGGGATGGACCGTTCCAACATATGTCAACCATGTGCTTTGGGTACCCACATTCTAACCTCGCCGTTGATCAGCAACATTAAGTTTCAAATCGAACCCAAACGTACCCCTACGTTCACCGATTCACAACAAATACCTGACCAGGATGATAACAATTACATCAAGAGTATATGGGCAGCGACTCGGATCCTAGCGTGGGCCTGCATGCCACTTTACCCCACTATGCCTCCAATTGGCCAGGATTTTGCGCAAAAAGGAGTGGATCAGAGCAACTACTCGTATTCCAGCTAATAAAACTTGAGTCTATATAACATACCCTGTGACAT